TATATTGAAAGGCCTCATAGTATGTGGAGAGAGAACATTTTGCTAAAGTGAACTTTCGCCACAAAACATATATGGAACACAACTTTGAAATTTCACTAGATTGATAACTTTTGGTCCCTGTCCCTCTTTTATAACTGTACTACGTAAAAAAAAGTAATCAATTAAAGCATCACTGCAAGAAGAAAGAACAATCATTTCGCCAAAAGAATGTAAAGAATTCACACAATAAAATGAAAAAAATAATGAACATTTTCATTGGTCAGACACCTTGCAGTAATGTACAACGGGCTGCTTCACAATTTTCAAGACTGTACTTCAGTCTCTCTTCTCACACGTTAAGAAAAAGTACAATTTCAGATAAAAGCTTTAAAAACTCTGAAAAAATTAAAGAGCGAACAATTGAACGACAAAATTCTTTGTGTAAACTTATCTCAATAACAGCAGAAGTTAGAATAAACAAAACAAAAACAACATAAAAATACAGAAAAAATATTCTGTATTTCATAACAATTATAATAGGAGAGCATTACCAACTGATTGTGACTAGATTAATGTACAACAAGAAAATAAAAAGCCTAAGGCTGAGTTGTATTATTAACATATAAAATATATCTTGTTTTTCTTGTTTACAATATACCTGACACCACATTGATACACATAGTCCATCATATATGAATCTGAGATTACATCAGACTTTGATACACAAAATTTAGAGTATCAGACTTTGAGACGTGTGCTGTAATCTTTGCCAGCTATGATAAGGAAGACTTAAGATGACAAACCAAAATCTTTAAAAAAACAGTAACTGTACTGTATCTACAGTAAAGCTGAATGGTACTACGTAATTTAAACATTTTACATAAACTTCCCAGGCCTTGATACATCTACTTGTAACAATTTTAACAACGCACTAGACAGTTTTAAAACTTGCTCAGTCTCAAAGCTATAGTATTCTGAACATAACATTTAACAGATTGGTTTTATGATTTTGATGTCACCTCCACACTTCTTGCAGGGTTTGGTCTCCTAATTCTTCAACAGGAAGTACTTTAAGTGATCTTAATGTTTCTAAATAGAATGTTAACTCTGCTGTTACCACACTGTAAAGAAGACATAGATAAATAATGTAAGAAAAGGGAACCAGGTTCAGGAGAATGCAGGTACCAAGGTAACACAACAAAATACAAACCCATGTTGTGGTCCTCCATTATTTACAACACCAATTCGAGCAAGGTGATCCCACACCTTATCTTTAAAGTTACGGTGCATTCCACGATACAGACGTTGAACCTGTTCACTTGGCATTATACCACTAATTGCTTTGTGTAATTTTGACAAGTGCCTGAAATTAAAAAGAAGATAAAGTGGATTTTTATTATGATATTTATTCTGTACATGAAACACGGATTGCAGATTGTATAAGAAACATACAAACCTTGAAATATTTCGAAATGGTTGGCTAGGCACAGGGGGCTTCACCTCCCAACGATCCAATTGTACACTTAGTAATGAAGAGACAATGGTCAAAATTTTTGCCTCAATTTCTTGAACATGACTTGTGACATCTCTTTCCACAGTGTCTAGCTGGACTAGAGGATTGCTGGCACTGGTTCGCATTGCAGTATTCCCTGCAGAAGCTCCAGAATTTAAAGACAATAGTCCTGCAAAGATAAATGAATCATAGGAATAATTAAATTTAGAATTCATCAATATAAGCAATGCAGACAAACAGTAATTAAAAATTTTACCCATGAAATGAACTCTGACATGAGGGATTAGCCAAAGAAGTAACTGGAGAGCACGGGATGCTAAAGCCAGGTTTGTGGTTGTTATGGTATCTAAGCCTGCACTTTGAATTGCTCCTGCTCCAAGTACTAATTGGCAGCAGCGAGAATTAAAATGCATCAGTAATTCTGCTACTGAGCGTGCAAGAGCAGAGGCACAAACCGGTAGAGCAGATGCACAACTACAATAGTCTGCTGTCATTCGGACCAATAAAAGGATAGTCCTTTGCAAAGAAAACGATCATCAAAGAAGATAAATAAAATGCAACAACCTTAATTGGAAACAATGCCAAGTCAACATACCCTACTACAGCGAATGATTCGTCACCAACTTGCAGAATGTCAGAGGTGGGTTGCTCAGAATCAGATTCATCTGATTTACTTTCTGGTCGTGATGATGCAAATATGCCTAATTCAATAAAATCATTAATAAATTATATTGTCATATATGATAATTTTGCCAATGGCACACATTTTGTGCAGTATAAATTAAGAATTACCAGTAGAGTGTATTCGTGTCACAAGAGCCTGAAATTCTACAGGAACATCAGCCTGCCGCCATCGCTCACTATCTAATATAAGGCTAAGTTTGTGGCGTCTTTCTTGATGAAATCTAACCACAAATTTGCTTGCCTGAATGAGAAGAAAATTAATGTTAAAGCCGCAAGAGGGGAAAACACAAATGTTATATAAAGCATTCTAATGACAATGTTTGATGTATACCTGCATTTTGAAAGCTGATCTGAGAGCAGAACTTTGGCGACCAGAAATTTGATGACACCGCTCAGAAAAGCTCTCAACAAGTTTATTGAGGGAACAAACTTGAGAGGGTGATGCACGTTCCACTAACCATCCAGCTGTTAGATTGGTAGTGTTAGTACCACTATTTGGAACTGCATTGCCATTCATTACGTTGCTATTGTGGGAGTTCGTAGAGGAAGAAGCTGAGTCCCTGCTAAGTTGCACAGAATTATTGAGTGATTAATGAGTTCCTTACTCTAAGATAGATATTTCTAACACAGATAGAACTCACCTTGAACTTGAAGGTTGAGCACATAGCAACTGAGCACATCTTTCATGAGCAGAGTCACATACAGCACCAAGCATTTCTTCCAGCTTGCTACACACACGCTCATGTTCATCAGATGACAGAAATATGTCTGGAGGTTCACAACTAGAAAACCAAAAGGACATATTGCTTTTAAGTTGTGAGAAACAGCTTGATTACATCATACATCATTAAAGTGATCTAGCAAGCTTACACAGAAATATGTCTGCTAGAATTTTCTTCTGTATCTCTATTTTCCAGAGAACTGCTTCGAGCAACTCCTGCACTAACATCGGCAGCATCTCTCATTACATCATACACAGCCTAGAAAACATCAAATTGGTCAATTAATTAACTTACCAACAAGAAAGGGGAAAATTTTTTAATGTAAAGATTCATGTTTTAATAAGGCAAACTATAATCTTTAGAAACTACATACTTACTTTAACATGTAGGACTAAGTTCATTAGAGTATCTGTGGCTTGTTGAATAAGTCCAAACCATTCGGTTACTGAGAGCGCTTGCATCTGATCACCTAATGATAAATCTGCATCATTTGATATTCCATCACTTGCTGCTACCACTTCAATTACCATCTAAATGGGCGCAAACATTGAAAATATTATGTATTAAATTTGCAGGTAAGGAGAGAAAAATGTTGTTTACAATATACTACATACCTGTTTCACTAAGGCTCGTATAGTTGTGAAAGCCTCTGACTTGTATGTGTCAATAAAGTTGAAATGTTTTTGCCTAAGAAGTCCAAGTATGATGGATACCAACTTATCCTAAACGGTTCATTTAGAAATAAGTGTGCAAATTAACATATAGTGAACACTTCAATACAGCATAATTTTTTCAGAAGGACTCACCCCTTCTAAAACACCTTGTTGCCCATCTAAAGGACGATTTAAGTCTGCAGTAGCATAACGCTCGAATTCAGCACTTAACATTTTGTCAATTAAACGACCCATCTCATGTAACTGTGATCCTAGATGTCTAGTTGGATAAATAAGTAAACCAATAAAAGTTATGTTTTCCAATGTAAAATACAATTGCAAAATTGATAGAAACACTAATTTTCACTTTTACCGAAAACTGAGAATTCCAGGCAACTCTTGTTTTAACATTTCTTGCGATGTTTGTATTAGATCCAAGGCAGCCACATAATCAGGAGTTGAAAGCAACAATTGGATCATTGGCTGGGTTTCACGAACACTAGCCATGAGTTTCAGCTACAAACAAATAAGAGGATATTTTTAAAATCTCATAGCACAGTATAACATACATCTAGATACAATATTCTTGTTACCTTTTGATATACATGTACATAATTAGAACGAGCCCTCTTAAGTTTTAAAATTTTGAGAGAATCCTGGACAAGAGTTTCATCAAGACGTCTTACACTTCCCCTAGAATATAGCAAAATTTAAAATTATCATGAACAGCAAAGGAAAGGGATAGTGAGCAATCGTTTTTAGTCAATTTATATACCGTAAAGCTTTGACAACATCTATTGTCTCTGTCATTTGTTCCATAAGAGCATCATGAGATCTCATTGCCATGAAAAAGGCATCAGATTTATGAGCAACCTGATGTGCAATTTGCACTTCAACCATATCCAAGTAATGACTGAGCTAAAATCATAAAATTTTGTTTACAAAAACACATGTGACAAATATGGAAATTGTGATTGAAAGCATTTTTAATGCAATGGTGAAGTTTGAGGTCATTCTTACTTGCTCTTGCAACAATTTCCCTGATGCAATGCCAGATGATGATGTACTCAATGCAGTAGAATTGGACTCTCCTCCAGATACAGGGTAAACGGCATTGAATGTCTCAGGATCACTCAGTCTGAAGTTTGATTGAAGAAATATTCGTGGAATGGCATCAACTTCAATCTTTAATTTATCTAAAGTAACAAAGACATTATAAAGCAGTTAGTTTTAAAGGTACAGCATTGTGTTGCAGATTGCATTAAGTTATATTTCACCTGTAGAACGTAATGGAGGCACTCTGAGGTTGGGAAAAGAGTGCAACAGCTGGGAATTTTCTGCAGGCTGAGGAGCAGTAACTTTCATGCGCTCATGCTTCTTATGCCTCTAAGGAACCAAAGTGGATACATGGTCTTTATTAGACAGAAAAGTAATTCAAAAAGGAAGAACTAAATCGTCCACAAGCGATCTAACCTTGCCTATTTTCCGAAGATAAGATTCAAAATGTGCAGCTGTTATTTCAGGTAAATAAGGTGATGGTGGTATGTCAGTCCTTTCCACAAAGCTATCACCCCACAGTTTTGTGAAAAAGTCTTTCTGTAAAAAAAAAAAGATAAAAATGTTATTATGCTGACATTTACTATTTACATAAAATTGTTCACAAAACATGGACAATTTATACCACAAGCTGGCAATGCCACAAGTGACCACTCAGACCCAAGGAAAAGGTTCTCACGAAGACCTCATTGTGACCTCATTAAGACTTTTAAGAGGTCACGATTCTTGCACTTGTGACCTCACCGGTGACCACACAAGTGCAAAAATAGTGACCTCAGAGGTCACAATGAGGTCTTCATGAGAGAAACGTTTTCCTTGGGGAAGGCTTGACCAGCTTAGACCCTTGCAAAATTTTAAGTCCCTCAGTTCACAATCAAAAATAGGTATCTTGATGTTTTTATATAGAGTTTGCAGTTTGCAACAGTGGTGTTGCTGGCTTGTGGTGTAAATCATCTGTTTTACAAACCTGTTTTCCCCTGTTAGGATCATTGAGTACAGCTGGGAGATTCTGTGAACCTGAATACACTGTCCACTTGCTACTTTCAGTGACTAAATGTGGCGCATCACTATAGCTGACCCTTCGGCTTAAATTTCCTGACATTTTACGACCATCAATGTTTCTAAACTGTGAACTACCATTGGAGGAACCGGCTGACATGTTAGCAACACCAACATGGTGACGAAGTACATGATCCTCATAATCGGCGTCACTTACTCCATCAACAGGCAGAGATGAGCAAACCCCATTGTGCCCATAACGACAAATATAGGAACCTCCCTCTCTCGTACAATGCTTTTCTCGTAAATGCCTGAAGCAAAAGACAAACTAAAATAAACAAGAACTTGATACTATCGATCGGAAAAATATAACACCATGTGGTAATACCATGTAAAATCCTGGAGACCTTTAAATTTCACATTCAAGCAATATTTGCATGTGCCCCAGTCCCTTTTGGGTTCTGAATAATGAGGCAGGGTTGCCATTACCAGGACTGCATATTAGAGACTTTAGCACAAGGGCACTCTTGATAGGAAAACCATCAAAATTATCAAAAAATGACCGAAAAGTGTCACTAAGAACTGCACATAGATTTAAACAACAGCAGATGTTAACTACTACAACCTTAACCCCCTACACTAAAGAAGAATAACTTCGAATTTTATTCTACGGAGCATAGCGGCAATTTAGTGCTCGGATCAGTTATAAATATTTCATACACACATTCAATTTATTGAATTATTTAACCCAGCATGGAGGTTACAATTAAAAATCCAAAGTTCATGACACTAGTGACACTCAACATATACATAACACAACACCCCGATGGCAGCGCCATCTACACGCCGACATTTTCGAATTGAGAACCTTGTCTTCGATAACTCGATTTTTGTTTGTTTGGTGTGGAATGTGCGGCGCGGCCACAAAACGTTTGATCCGTGGACCTTCCCTATTTCAACAACTCTGAGAAAATGACCTCTTTGAGGAATTTAGAATACGAACAATTATGGTTGAACGCTCACACAGATACCCGAGCGGCAGTTTATACATTTAGCTCCTGTATAACACTTGCTGATCTGAATGCTGATGGTGATTTCAAACTGATAGTAGCTGATCTTGGTACAGGTTCAACTAATGTTAAACTCAAGGTTTGTTGAAGCGTCTGTTGCCCCAGAGAAAGCAGATTTCCAAAAAAATGTTTTATGCCAATCCTTCCTGTAGGTCTACAAAGGGACTTCACTCCACTCTGAAACTGCATTGCTAGACGTTCCTACAGGGGTTGTATCATTTTACATGGATTTCAGTGAACCAAGAATGCCAGGTACTAAATTTTTTTTTTTATTAATTTTTTTAACTAAAGGGAATTTTCTAAAATGAATCGAGATATCAAAGTGTATATTTATTTTCACTTTACATTAATTAATAAGATTGTCCCACCCTCTACAGCAATTGCAGTTGCTTCAGGTTCAAATATCTACATATATAAGAATATGCGACCATACTTTAAATTCTCCCTGCCATCTATGGATGTAAATCCTCTAGAAAAAGACTTGTGGATGCAAGTATGAGCAACTGCTTTTATTTACTGGTTCAATTACAAGATGTTAGGAAAATGTCTCTTACAAATACTCTATTTTATCACTTCACATTATCAAGGTACGTGAAGAACAAATAGAAGTGGGTGTCCTCATGGAGTTGTTGAACAACCTTCGGTTGGAAATAGGATTTGCCCAGCTTAGTACTCAATCTCAACACCTATTGGCTCAAGATCCTACAACTGTGCCATCATTTGTTCAACAGTATTGCAAAGTTCCTATCAAGAGACAGGCAAGATCACATAAAATAACATAAATAAAATAAAATAAAATAAAATAAAATAAAAATATCATTGATTTGATTTTAAAATTTTTAGACTGTAGTGACATGTGTAACAACTTTAAAAAAAGCCTTGGCTGATGAAAAAGCAGTGTCTTGTTTGGTTGTGGGCACAGAGTCAGGAGAAATACTAGTTTTAGACCCAGAAGCTTTTACAATCCTTGAGAAGGTTTGTTATTCCACATTCACAAAATCAATTTAAAATCAAAGGGGAATCTAACATGTTCTTGTTGATTTTTAAAGATTAAACTCTGCCACCAAGAGAGTTCAACACTTATAGTACCAGCTGTGCTCTCTGCCTTTGGTTTACATGCAGTAGAATTTCGTATTGTAGCAGCTTGTCGAGATGGTAGCTTAAGACTTGCAAGAAGAGGGTGGACAGAATCAAAGTTGCTGGTTCAACTGCCAGCTCAACCGGTTGCCATGACAGTCAGCCCAGAAAATGCATCCATTACAATCGCTCTAATGAATCAAACCCTTCAATGTTTTTCAAAAAAGGTAACCAACATTATATAGCACTTCATTACCTTTCATCATTAAAGACGAATAATTAGATACTGGGTACCTTTATTATTATTTTAATTCCAGGGTAAACTACAATGGGTGGTAACTTTGCCAGCTGCAGCATGTGCTCTATGCCCCATACCACTTCCTCATCAGAGTACAACTCTTGTTGCCGTATCCTTGAATGGAGGCCTACTTCAACTTTACAATGGTAGGCAGCTAGTTGATGTCATAAAAGCTCCACAATCCGTGTCTGGGCTTGTTTTTGGGAAGTTTGGACAAGAGGAGAATGCTCTGATAATGTTCACAGTCGGTAAGACTAAGAATGCATACAACTTTAAGGAAACATAAAAAACAACAACTTTGCAACAATTAACAATCACAATACTACCCTGTAATCCAGATGGGAGTTTATTGGTTAAAATCTTGAAGAGAACTGCTCACTTTAACCTGCAAGGAGGCAGCACATCTGCTAATGTTGTTCCTGGTGTGGCCCAACAAATAAAACTTCAAATTCCCAAAAAAACTAGGCTTTTTCTTGATCAAACTATGAGAGAAAGGGACAACTGCGTCAGTAAGTATATAATATTTTTAAAATACCTGCACCATCTGCATTTCGAAAAATTAATTTCTTTTGTTTTTGAAAAATGTTTTTTCAGTGATGCATAGAACATTTCAAAGAGATCTGTTTCAGCTCAGAGTTGATGTTGCTAGAGCCTGTGTGCAGGCATTACAATCATGTAACAATCCCATATCATTGGAAGGTGCAGAACCAGTTAAACTTTCAGCTCAGGTACATGATTTAATAATAATTTCATGCACCAACAATGAAGCTTTCAATTTTATTATGACATTATTACAGGTCTTAGGACTAGGTCCTTTGTTTAAAATGGTGATCACACTTCAGAATATATCAGCCTCCACTTTAATTCAGGACATTGGTATTCTATTTCACTTTGATGACAAAATGTACTCAATGGAAAAACCATTCATCAAGGTACGTACAGTAAGACATTGTTCACTTATTCCAGCTGCTGTTTCCATCATTAATTTTGTATGATTCAATTGAAGGTCCCTATTTTATTACCGGGGGTGGAATACCCTTATGAAACAATGATTCGGAATATATCAGAGCTGGCTCTGTCTGATCAAATCCGGGTAATGGTTGTACGAGAGGGACAGACTCAACCAGTTTTGGCAGCCATCATAAATATGCCAGTTTGTGATTTATTAGGAATGGTTTAAAGAAATTGGAAGAACCTTCCATCTTATTGAATGTAATGTACAAATCAACTGTAAGAAACCAAAATCGTTTTTTTTGTTGTTTTTTTGTAAGGGAAACATGCAGTGTTTATGTGATCAACCTCATCATGCGTACTATCACTGAAGAAAGAATTGAACCCTTTCTGATTGGAATATTGATATCAGAGGCGTTAGATTCTTTCCGCACAGATAGTACTTCACAAAATACAAGGTCATACTGGACAAGTCAAGAGTCAGATTTTGAGAAAAGAGAAATACACAACTTATGATCATAAAAAGAACATGTTGACACTATACAATGATTTTTACCATTCAAGGTTTGTCCGTACTCACTGCTATCAAACAAAACTTTGATGGATTCTTCATTGAGGTATGACCAATCAGCTCCATATGCAATACTTTCATGGTTCTTGTATGATGCTATGATTTGAGGCTCAGCTCCAGATTTAATTGAGTTTAGGCAGTTAACTACATTAAAACCTCCATGCATACATGCAGTTAAAATCATATCAAAGGAGAAGGGATTCCATTTAACTCTCCACACTCCTCCAAACATCTCAGTAGAGTGAAGGGGATTTTTCATTTTTCTCATATCCCATACACGTAATGACTCATCATAACTGAAAATTTATAAAGATAGGAAAAAATTACAATACCAAAAGATACGTACTCATCTGCCACTTTCATTAAGTACTAACCTTCCAGATATGAGCAGGTTTTCAAACAATGCATTACTATGTAGACTTGTAACTCCAGCATTGTGTGATTTATTTACAAATATTGGAGAACTCAGACCACTCCGCACATCCCACCCTTTCAGAATGCAATCATCACCACCTAGCAAATCAGTTAAGCAATGATCAAGATAAGAACTACTTAAAAACAGAGAAATGATTGAAATTAAGTTTGCTCATACCTGTCATTATGAGAGAGGACTCCCAATAATTGAAAGCAGCTATCCAAGCCTCATATTCATGCCCCCAACATTTATCTACTACCAGTAACTCAAATTTATCGGAGAGAAGGAAAAGGTTTGCTCCTCCTTGTGAGTGGCTAACAATAATATGGACATCTCTCTGCGAAACCCCAGCATCCTTTGCATTGGACCAGTCAAGTGAAAGAGCTAAAATTTCTTTTGAGTCATCAACACCTTCCACAGGAGCTTCAGCTATTTGAAAAAGGGTCTTGTCTTCCTTTAATTCAAATATCAGTAGTTTAGCTGTGGCAGTTACAACACCCAAGAGAATTCTTCCACAAACATATGACTGTGACCATTTCATGTCTAGAACAGCGGGGAGATCAATGACTTGATGAGGTTTAAACGAATTCGTATTGGACAGTTCAAACACATAAATTCTTCCATGGCGGCTTGTTGGTGGAGCATTATTCTCAGTGGCCTTATCATCTTCTTTTTCAATTTGATAAGTACCACACACAAAAATACTCTGGCTTGGAGCCAAGGGGCACCATTCTGTAGAATCGGCACTTTGAACTGTATCCCATTCATACAAAGTTGTAAATTTTGATGTAGCCATTTTCTGTAAAGAATGACAAAAATTCATAAACCAAATTAAATCTTAAAATAACATTTATTACTAAGTGTTTTGGTCAGGAGTGGCAGGCTGGAAACAGCTTACTGAAAGTGAGTATGTACATAGAGATGTTATGAAGGTGTAAAAAGTAAAATGAAGTTACAAAATAATGATTTAATTGATCACGGTTTAATACATTGCATATCACACGCCACCTTTAAACACAAATACACACACACTCTTACACACAGAAAAGAATGAACCTACAGGATTTAAAGCATATCAATCTGAAAGAAACCTACCACCACAAACACACATTCTTAATCATCTTATTAAAAAATAATATTCTCTTATCTTAATGGAGAATTGGTCAAAAATTTAACAAAAATATCTTAGCTTTGATGGTGATTTTATTTTAACATTACAATCAAAAACTAGCTCCCTACAAAAAGTGGGCAGAAAAAGAAATATCAATTATTTTTTATTAGCTGCCAATCAGTGTTTTGCCAGTAAAAAATAGATAGGTATTTTTCAGACTTTTCAGTTACTATCCACAATTTTTTTAAACTCTGCTTCCAAATGCTATACAAAGAAAATATATTTAAAAAAGAAAGAAGCATGACTAACAGTGCTACAGGATCTAACTGAATGTAGAAGACCCGTTCTCTTTACTTACGTATTTAAAAGTGACTGATGCATTTGCTACAGAAACACTAGATGATGTTGCAGTTAGGCACTGTTTAACTTATTAATGTCACTAGAATGTGTCTAACTAATGTTGACTCAACACCACCATATTAAAATGAGAAACAATCTTTGTTAAACTATGCACACAGAGCAAACAAAGAATAAAATATCACTTTAGAACATATTGAAATCCCTGAGTTCACATTCATCACAAAAGTAGTTCAAATAAGAACAAAGGAAATGTATAAATCAATTTGTTACAGTAAACATAAGTAACTTGTATGGTAAATTTTTAAAACCGAAGGAAAAAAGTAATTAGCTAACCCAAAGATACAGAGGACTTCATAAAACAATTATTTGTACTATGGGTAAAAATCAAACAGATTAGTTGGAAGTGTAATTCAGAATAACAGGCTAATTGGAAATCTGAATATAAAACGTTACTGTCTGGCACTTCTTTCTGTCTCCATTAAGCATTCCCTCACTAAAATACGAGCTTGTACAATGCCTCTCTTCAACTTCTCAGCTGAACTCCTATTTCCAGCATAAGTGGGGCGTATATCTTTTCCCATTTCTTCAATGACAGCAAGAAGTTGAGCATATTTCGAATGACCAGGAGGAAATTGTTGGAAGCCATTGCCATTAGCTACTCGCTGGATGTTTGGTGTAGTTGCAGTTAAAGTAATATCAGTCAGGTGTGCAGGCAGCCCCAGGGCAGCAGCACTAATGGGAGATTCAATTGCTTGAACTTCGTCGTCCATATTTGATAATATATTTCAACTCTGAAAACAAGGAATGAAACTAGTCAAAATTAATGTTTTCTTTCTGGACAAACACAGCAAACCAAGAGAAACAATACCAGATGACAACAAAAACCTATGAATGCACAAGAAGTTCAAATACAGACAATTTCTGTTATGCATCAAAATAGGAAGAATATCTCAGAACAAATTGTGCAAGCCTTTCAATTCCTTTCACATAAAAGCCTAAACTACTAAGCAAATTATATATTGCTATCGCATCAAAAGATTTACAAGTGCATGTGAGGGTTGACTTCACAAAGAGCATATTCTATCAAAACTACATGAAGCTAAAAAACTAAAAAAAAAAAATAGCTACAAGTTTACAAGTACACACCAACGATTTTGAATGGAAGAACTCAGTCTAAGGAGAAACAGTTGACCTCAGAGACAGTTGACTAAAACAGTACCATTGGCACTCAATCAGCAAATTCTACATCAAAATGCTCTTCTTTTATTGCTTTACTTTTTCCAGTAACTTTAGGTTTGAAGGTCTGAGATGCAACATTGCCATTCAATTCTTCATCGTGAGTAGTTTTTCGTTTGACAGCCTTCTTTGGTGCGGGAGATGATGTTTGACCTTCTTGGGTATTGAAGTTTGCTGGCTGCAACGTACTTTCAATACCAGCACTAGCTTCTAGCTGATGCACTCTTTTCAGCAAAGAGCGTACCTCCTCCTTCAGAATCAAAGTGTCTTCATGAACTTGGGCCACTTCGTCACACAAGTAAGCATTTTCAAGTACAAGATCTTTGATTACTCTCTTCAGACCGCTCAGTTTCCGGCGGTAGTCAATAATTAGTAGTGTCGGTGGCTTATTGGGACTAAGAAACTTCTTTTTCCCATTAAATGCGCTCATAATTGGGAATTGATTTTTTTATTAACATAATGCAAAAAGACGCAGCTTGACGTCCCAAACCAAACACTAACCCCACCACGAAAGAGGTTTCGTCACTGTACCTTAGATCAAACAATGCAGACGTCTTGCGACAAGTTTCCTTGAAAGAAGGTGCCGATTCGAAGGATCAAATATAATTTGTCGAACAACGAACCAATTCTTCGCTTATCTTCAAGTTAAAAGTCTGAACGAACAGCGATTCGGCTGGCTGCGTGCGGTTTACGGTGCTCTGATCCCGATCGCAAACGGAATAGAAATATGTAGAGAATAAGTGTTCGGCTTTCCTTCGGCTAGCCTTCGGGAAGGGTTCGGCCATTCGTTACAAGGCGGTTCTTTGGCGCGAAACCGCAACTTTTCTATTTCCCGTCTACCTTACGTGCTCACTCATTTCCAACTACATACTGTCACATAATGTATTAACGTGGAAGAATTCATTTCATTGACTATTTTCTGAAGCAAAGTGGACAATCACATCTTGAGAATGATTTCCCCCTCATGAATAAACTGCTTTCACCCTCATCTCTCATCTCTCTCATTACCCCCGCTCCCGCTCTTGCCCGCGCTCTTTCCGGGAGAGTTTGTTTTGCCTTTGTTTAGATGGTTTTGTTTTTGAAATCAATAACGACTTAAAAACTATCAGACGTGTGATTTGAGAGAGAATGAGAGTAGACTTTAGACGACTGATTAACGTAGCTTTCTTTTAACTCGCTCTCTTCTTAAAACTTTCGTAAATAGTTCGTGAAGGTGGGAAGTTTTCGAGGCCGCGTAGGGAGGCACGTAACATAGCGTGTTCTCAGGTTTCTCGGGGAGCATTCGTGATGCAACCTTTGCTGTTAACTTTTAACTGTTAAAAACGCACAAGAATGGTTCAAACACGGAGAAAAGATGATTCATCTTTCTCAACCACACACTCTCTACGTCGGAGCACGAGGGAAACTAGAGGCGAGAGGGTTGTAAGTATCGTACCCTAACCACTCCTGTTGTCATAATCCACTCGAAATGATTGTGTTTCTTAAATTTTCGTGCCGCAGATTTTTGCTGGCCTCTGAGATGAATGTCCACTGATTTATTATCTTTGTTCATAAGTTGTTATTATGCTTCAATTTTTTTTTGTTTACTTCTGAGGGATGCTTTAATGGAACAAGGACACTGCGATTCTTCAAATGCAGCTAGTAATAGAAATGATTTCTCTCTTTGCTGAAATTTTTAGTTACAATTGACATTACCTGTAATATTGATGACTTTTGCAAAGTCTCCGTTCCACTAAAAGATTGCACTTGAAGTTTAAGTGACGTATCAGAATACAACGCATAATGTACTGTTAGTAAACTATCCTCAAAACCTTTGATCTGGAATATACATTTTCTGTGTCCAGTTAAAAGTGGTTTTGATTCTTTTGAACCAACTTAATCTGTTTTATAGTGTTGATGCTGCTATATTGAACATTCATCAAGCAGTCAATGACACAGAAAGTTAAATTGATACATCATTATTTGTTGCAGTTGAGGTTTGAAGACACAGAAAAAGAAGACGATGATGAATATGTGGCTCCCTCCATGACATCCTGGTCACTGAGAGCAAGGCAACACCCCAAGAGAAGTCGCCGCTCCAGCATTAAATACAATAGTTGTATGTTTCCCTTTCTTAAATCGGTTCTTTCATCAGTCCTATATCATTCCTCTTTATCACCTATGTTTTATTGTTTTTTACAGCCCTGTCTCGTTCATTACGGTCGGAATCTGAAGAGGAATCTCGGTCTGATGATTCAATATTTCAATCAAGGAGGTTATTATTAATTATTAAACCGTTCCCAAATGCTTATATGTGTACTAGTATCCCACATATTTACCTTAATTAATTTTGGCTTCAGGTCAAGACCATCACGCTCAAGGCGTGCGCCAAGGAGACATGCTGATCATGCAGAGACAAGCACTGACCACATCGACATGGGAATGGAGGAAGAATTAGTTCACCAAGAAGATAGTGGTATAAGACGTAGTTCAAGGCAGCGAAACCCTCCGACAAGCTGGCTTGTTGGGGATGATACTGTCAGAGGCTATCCTAGTTACAATCGCAATGCAAAAGTTGCCACATCTGAGCCAGGGAACTCACTTCGAAGTAGCAGAAGTCGTGATTGTCCGAATCCTAATCTTCCAGAAACTGAAGTGAGTTTTATATCTTGGCACATATTGCTTCTAGTTATCTGTCCTTTTGCCATCATCCCTTATGTTACTGACCTACATTTGAAATTTCCTCAGACAACACCACAAGCAGGTCCTAACCTCCGTTGGCAACGATCTTCTGTAAAGCCAGAACCCAAAGCCGAAGAAGATGATGCAGAGGAGGAGGAGGAGGAGGAGGAGACAAGAAGCACTAAGGATGGTGGGCAAGTTAAAAAAGATAAGGAATCAAGTCCCAAAGTGACTGATAAAAATAAGGAAGATATGGAAAATCAGGAAAATGGTGAAGTATCAACAGCTGAAGAAGAGGATGTTCCTAAGGATATTCCTCCCAGGACAAGGACCCGTGGTGGTGGCAAAGCATCTCATTTAGATGAAGTTTGTAAAACCATTAACCTACCAACAAATTTTTTCTCTTATTTTTCTTGTATCTTACAGATTTCAATTTTTTTTTTTTGTACCTTTGCAGAACTTTCCCGATATGTACTCCCGGGTGAAGAGAGCCCGTCGCCAAACAAAAAGGAAGTTTTCATCTAGAGGTAAAGAGAGTTTGTATCTTTTTCATGAAGGCCTCTAAGATTTTTTCGTTATTTAAGTACCACTTTCTGTTGCTTGTTGATTTCAAGATGGAACAATGTCTCAATCTCAGAGTTCCTCTGGGAGTGATGACTCAGATTCTGACCAGGATCAATCCACACGGAGAAGTTCCCTTCGACAGAGCACTCGTCAAAGTTATCAGCTTAGGAAAAACAAGCCGACTGTTGATCGATTTCAAGCCCATCATGGTCAGTGTTGTGAAATGTTGTGGTCTTCTTTGTTGAGTTTTAATTGTGCATGACAGTCTATAGTCTGTCCATCACTTACATCCATACTTATGCATGTATTTGTAGAACCAGTTCGTCGTCCACCAAGGTCTATCCAAAGGGCCTTGTGTAATTCTCTTCTACGCAACTTTGGACATAGGACAAAGAGTCGGTTTGCCCCTGACAGTTCTTCATCTAGTAGTGATGAACAAGCCCGATTTGACCACAAGAAACCCCATTCTAGGTAATTTGGTGTACCAGATAACATAGTATTTTTTATCCTGTGTCCTTTGCACGTTTTGGAATTAGTAATACTTGTACCTGTTCCAGGCATGTGCCACATCATACCAAGGATGGTGTGCAGATGGGAGTTCCACATTCGAAAGATGCAAAGATTGGGAATTTGGCTGATATAACACCTATGGCGCTTGATCCCAGTATTCTTTTCAAAAATGTTGGAGGGTGAGATATGAAAACCACTTTCTCCTTTTCCTCCATGGTATTTGTTTGGTATAACTCCTATTTATCCTTTTTTCTCTTGTCAAATTCTAGTCTTGCCGAGCACATTCATTGCTTACAAGAAATGGTTGTATTTCCTATGTTGTATAAAGAGGTTTTTGAAAAATTTCATATAACACCCCCAAAGGGAGTTCTCTTCCATGGACCTCCTGGTAAGGCTGACTAAGTCCTACATCTTAGATTTTCATCAATACATATGTACTTTGCATTCCCTATCTATATATTTCTATCTATTATTTTCCAGGTACTGGTAAAACTTTAATTGCGAGAGCATTAGCAAATGAATGTAGCCAAGGTGATAGAAAAGTATCATTTTTCATGCGGAAAGGTGCAGACTGCTTGAGTAAATGGTTTGGAGAGTCTGAACGGCAACTTCGGTTGTTGTTTGAACAAGTATGGAAAATCTCTTTGCAATTGACCTATGACTACACTGAATTCCGAATAAAATTAGTAACATGTTTCTCTTTTACATTTTTAAGGCATATCAAAAGAAACCATCAATCATTTTCTTTGATGAAATTGATGGCTTAGCACCTGTCAGATCATCTAAACAAGATCAAATCCATGCATCTATTGTATCTACACTTTTGGCACTTATGGATGGACTAGATAACCGCGGGGATGTCATTGTTATTGGCGCCACCAACAGAATAGATGCTATCGATCCAGCTCTTCGCCGGCCTGGTCGCTTTGACCGAGAATTGTACTTTCCCCTCCCTGCTTGCAAAGTAGGAAATGTCATTCATTGAAGCCTTCTGCAGCATCTCTCTTGGATGAGATGCCCCTCATTAAATGTTCTTTTTGTTTGTTTTCTGCAGGAGAGACAAGAAATTCTTCAAATCCATGTAAGCAAGTGGGAAAACAAGCCAAATGCTAGTGTTCTTAGTGAGCTAGCTGAGCAATCATCAGGTTATTGTGGTTCTGATCTAAGAGCTCTTTGTTCTGAATCAGTAATCCAGGCATTACGCCGTACTTTTCCTCAAATTTACAAATCAAATAAACGCTTAGTGTTAGACTCCAACAAAGTTCAGGTACCCTCTTGTTTTTTAAGTCAAGTTAGAGTTTAAAGCTTTGTGTGAGAAATATACTGTATAATGCATTCCTTTTCCATTTAGGTTGCCTGTGAAGATTTTGTTCTTGCACGCTCCAGCATAATCCCAGCTGCCCACCGAGTCACACCTAGTCCTGCCCACCGTCTCCCAACCATGATAGAACCACTTCTTTCCTCTGCATTAGAAAATGTGATCAAGCAACTGACAGAAATCTTTCCTCATGGACTTTCAAGAGATAAGAATGTGTGAGTACATTTTTATTATTTACAATAACAAACTAATAACAAACCTAGTCTTTGTTCTAACTTTTCTCTTACTGCCATTCTGCTTCTACAGAATGCACTCAGTTCATCGCCCCCGTCTCTTAATAGTCGGGGAAAATGCAGGACAAGCTCAAACTACTCACTTAGCACCAGCACTACTCTATCACATGGAGCATATACCAGTCTTTACCTTGGATATGGGTACCATGTATGAAGTCAGTGCCCGCTCACCTGAGGAGACAGTTTCCCAGGTCAGTGCTGTCTTTTACTTCCCGACTCACCTTTGTATTTAATCTAAGTTATTCTTTGAAGCATTCTTACACTGCCTATGGATATTTCATTTTGTATGTATAAATTTCAAATGCAGGTTTTCCAAGAAGCTCGCCGTAATCCACCATCTGTAATTTATCTTCCTGGAATGGGTCAATGGTGGGATTCTGTGCCACATACTGTTCAATCAGTTTTTCTTATGCAGCTTCAGAAACTTGATATGAACAGCCCTGTATTTCTATTGGCTACTTCAGATATCAAATATGCAGATTTGCCTTCTGAGGTTTGTGATTTTACAATCTATCTCTCACCTTACAATAAAATTTCTGAAACCTAATTTTAAATTTTCCCCCTACAGCTGTGTGAAATCTTCAGCAGATACAGAGATGAGATATTTACCATGAGTAATCCTACCTCTTCAGAACGTTCAAGTTTTTTCAGTCCCCTTCTCCTTCAAAAGACCGTTGTTCCTCCTAGTCCTCCTAAACCCACTGGTGAGTATCTTCTATGGATGTGTCTTTTTTCCAGACACATGTTACAGGTAATGTTTCATATTCAGCTAATATCCACTTTACCTGGCTAAAGTCACAATTTCCCTGGAGGCTGCAGTGAAAGTCATCTGAGGGTCAGAAATGTGTTATTCGACAAGGACATTAGGCTACAGTTTGACATTAGCCACAGACTTAAGTGAAAACACATATTTATTGTGCCTTGCCATTTTTAATGTGTGGTTTTGCCAATTACGTATTCCAGAAGACACGTGGGAAGAGCTTCCTGAAGCCCCTCCACCAGAACCTACCAAATTAACAGAGGAAGAACTGCAAAAGTTGTATGCAAAGGAAGAACACACATTAAGAGAGTTACGAATTTTCTTAAGAGAAGTTTGTGCTAAGCTTGCACGTAACAGACTGTAAGATATTTTATCTAATCATTTCCACCTTGATTAAGAGAGAACTCTGATTAAAATATTTCAATTTTCTTTATTTCATAGGTTCTTTTTGTTTACAAAACCTGTGGATGTGGAAGAGGCTCCAGACTATTATGATATCATTGAGAAGCCTATGGATTTGGAAACTATGATGACTCGAATTGATCAGCATCATTACACTTGTGCGAAAGAATTTTTGGATGATATAGATCTCATTTGTAGTAATGCATTAGAGTATAATCCAAATCGGTATGTTCTGTCAACCATATTTTCAACTAAAATTTTCCTTCATCATGCTTTTAAATTCGTTTGTAAAATTACCTTATTGATATTTCAGTGACCAAGCAGACAAGCTCATTCGACATAGAGCTTGCTTCCTTAGGGACACTGCTTATGCCCTAATAAAAGCTGAAATGGACACTGATTTTGAAGATAAATGTAGGACAATCGCAGATGACCGTAAAAAGCGCAAAGATAGTCCTTCGAGATATGCACCTGCACCACACTTCATCCATACAGCATCTTCAGTCAATGTCAAAGGTATTACATTCATCATTATTAGTTGCCTAAATGTTGCCAGTTTTTAGTAACTTACCGGTACTAAGTAATGTAATTTGAATTCATGTTTCAAAGGACAAACTACTAATGGAAGCAAAGATGGAACAGTTCGTGTCAATGGTGACTTGTCAAGTCATTCATCTGTTGCTTCAAATAATGGAGTAACAACCCAAGCTATGTCTGGGCGCAAGAAACGGCCAAGCAGCTGGTCTCGGGGCTTTATCAGTAAACGTAAGAAGAAGAAGTTGTCAGAAGACGTATCTATTGAAAAGCATGAGGTAAGCAGAGATATATTATTTGCTCGCAATTTAATCAAATTAAATGTCTGTTTTAGACTACAGTCTGATTCTTTTACCTCCAGGTTAGTGAATCAGAAAATCCTGCCTCTGTGAGTGGAGCAGCCTCACTTGCATCACCAAGTGATACACTGACAAAACAAGGGAGTGACATCACAGAGCCTTTAGAGAAAAGCATAGATGATAAGAGCAAGTTATCTGTAAATGGTAGTCTTGAAAATACACCTTCAGATGTAGAAATGAATGAGGAAGTTCCAGAATCTAAACGTTCAGAAAGCACCCTTTCAGAGGAAGCCAGGGCAGAATCAGAGCATACTGATTCAGTCAAGCCCAGACGTACATCAGATGGCATCAAAGCCAATGAGCCACCTTCAACATCAACAGTTATTCATGAAGAAGTTTTAATAAATAGGCCGGAGTTGGAGAAACTTCTTAAAGAAATAGTTTCAGAAACTGAAGATTGTCATGTGGAAACCTTAACTGAACTATTTATCCGAATGGAAAAAAAGATCCTTAATTTCAAAGATAAATGGGATCGTACCTCTTTACATCAGGTGAGAAATGACTTTTAATGATTTTGTAATGTGTGAGCATTTCTTTGTCCAACCTAGTCTATATTGACATCTATGTTTCCTTACAGGATCTAAGAGAAGAACTCGCACGCTTCCAAAGATTTACAAGGTGTTGAGCTTAATATTGCATATACAGCCAAATCACTGCCATTTAACTTCATTAATCATACAATCATATTCATGACTTGAAATTTTGTGAGCTGAGGTAGGGTCGGTTTTTCATGTTAAAGTTCCTAGGTTGGTTTAATTTTGACTATTCCAAACCTATGTTAAAGTATATGCTGCCTCAATTTGTCATTTGTATGAACAGAATGTGCTACCTTAGTCGAATGAATTGTGTTTTCCAATTTTTCACTAGTGAAAGTTCAGTTTGTGTTGCTCAGTTAACCTTTCAATTAATTAAAACGTTTACATCCTACTGACTTAATATTTTAAGTGTTTGACTGAAACATGAGTCATGGTTATCAGTAACTGATCAGCTGTGTACAAGCCAGCTGTGTTACAATGTAAAAGCTTTAAGACTAATGACTGTTCACGCCAGTCTGAAGTATCCTTAAATGTCGTTTAGCATTTATAATCGTTTATTGGAGGTAAGCCAAATTACCTACATTTCTACCTTGCTCTTGAAGTGTGCCCTTGTTACACAAACTGCCAGATCAATGACTCTTTGGGCTCTCCTCTAGTGGGATGCACTAGTCTCTGGTAACTTCCTCACTCTTATTGGGAGACATTTAATCTGGCCATGATTCGTTATGAAAAGATGCATCTTAACATATGTACGTATTAAAATGTGTTTTATTTTTTTTAAGTCCAGTTTAAATTGAAAGTAGAACTCTTTGTTTTTGAGTATCTATGACCCTTCTTAAGCTAAAACATAAGTTAAATCAGAACTGTTACCTTTGCTATTTAATCTATCTTCATCAACTTGCTTGTACTTTAATTCAATAAGAAGATTGATACAGTATCTCCATAAATGTAAAAAGTCTAAACTATTGTCTAAATTTGTATTTGCTAAGAAATTGTTTTGCCATTCTTTCTAATACTTCAATTTTTATCAACTGATTTCTTTTCTCTTTTCTTTCTGTTTTTCAAATAGTGTTCATGTTATTTACAGCTGAAGCTAAAATTATATACTGTGTAGGAAGTATTGGAACCAACAAATATTGATGCGTACATAATACCTGTAGCTTAATATTGTTTTTTGCCTTAGTCCATGTGTGTAAGAATATTCATATGGTGCTTTTGTTTGAACTGGTTTGTTGGGTTCTAATGGGAGATTCAGTAGCTGGAAGAATAGATTTAAATTGATGTGGTAAAATTGGTTGCAGTGATATCTTTTGCAATATCTTTAATTCAACCCGCATTTGATTACTACCGCTATTTCTATCATCTTGATACATGTGAGATTTGTCTTTTGTTTGCATGAATTACATTTTAATGTCCCTTTAAAGCACTGTATCTTTCAAAACAAGTTATTTTCAACTATAAAAATTGCCTTAAAGTCCATTTTTAAATCTGTGATATTAGTAAACTTTACTCTCTTAAGATCACTTGCCCTCTTAAGTAGACAGTGAAGCGTCTGTTCCCTAATCTAAGGTTTTTATATTGGTCCCTCATTCACTTGGCCTCTTAAATACCACATGTGTTCTTTTTCAAATTATTTTTGATGTTTTTAAAATCACATTCTTTGCTCTTGGATGCCATCTGCTACCTATGGTTATATGCATTGTTGTGAACTGAATTAGGTTATTTTTACTGTAATATAGTAAATTTTCGTTTTTTGGAAGAGGGGGTTGGTCTAATATGTTTTGCTCAGACTTTTGGGGTCCACATACTTATGCACTGGTCCCTGAAAAATATGGTCTAAAACACATTCTTCCTAGTCTGTCTTAAACAAAGATGTGTCTAGGTCTAGGTTGGTCAAGGATCGTTTTTGACTGGCATGATTAATTCTGATTTGAGAACTTTATTAATGGACATCTCAAAGTGTTGTCATATTCCCTGTAATCTAATTTCAGGATTGCACAAAAAATTGCTTATACCTCCTTAATCTAAGGTTTGAAATAAATTTAAAAAAATAGTTGCAACTGTACTAGCTCTTTAT